TATGTTAAATTAAAGAAATCTCTTCAAACATTATTGATCAAGCTCTCTTACTACTGTTCAAAAGAAATTAGTATGTGTTGAGTTCTTCAGTGATCTGTCAACTGAGATATAACTCTTAATTCTGTTAGAGTTAAATGGTTGGTAAAAATTCTGAACATAGTAATTTATGCTTAATTTCAAATGAAGAATCTGAATTTGATATTAGTCAAATGATGTCTCAGTCAAAAGATTGGGTAATAAAACTTTGATAAAAGATAAACTCTAAAAATTATGTGCTTCTTAAACTTGTGTAGAGAAATCTTGGTGTCTTACATGTACAGAAGTGGAAAATCTTTTTGGCACCTGCCCCACTTTTTACACCTGTCTGAATGTCTTCATCACACTTGAAATTGTTTTGTGTTTTGAATTTGAAGGGGAATGAATTCGTTTTAAATACTTTTGTGTTTAGGTCTCTTTAATATCATTTATTTCTCTCAACACCTTCTTAACACACAACCTTTATCATTGTCTATTTCATATTTTATTTGTAAACCCAAGAAAAAACCCCAAAAACCTCATCAGTGACATCCTTGTCAACCTATCCCTTAGATATTAATTCCATACAAAAACTCAAGATCGAACCGAAGACTATGTCGCTCGACAAAGATGGATTAAAGCTTCTCATTGAACAAGTGGTAGATTTTGATAGCTTTGCTGAAAATGGCCGTGTATTGGAAAGTCATTTTGAGTTTCAAGGATGGATGAACTTCTTTGATTTGCTGAATGGACCAACTTATCAATCTCTGGTAAAATACTTATGGGTAAGAGCATAAGTGTAAAATGAGTATTCAACACAAGATGAAGAAAGAATTGTTATGAAAAAGAAAAAAGTTTGAAAGGAAAATCAAGAGCAAAAATGGGTCAGAAGGAATTCAAATGTGTGGAAATAATATCTGCTGTAATGGGTCTGGACATCACCATATCTCAAGAGAATATTGCTCAGCTAATTGGGGATGAAAATAAAGGAATGGTGATAATCAATAAAAAGGATGGAGGAGATTATGCCTGGGATATTAAGAAGGCACTATTTAAAAAGAAAGATGATTATGGAAAAGTAAAGAACATGCATATCAAGCAAAAATTGTTATTCAAAATTCTTATCAGTTGCTTAATTCCTCAGGAAGGAAGTCCAGATCAAACTTCATGGGATCATAAGATGTTTCTTTGGTATCTGTCTACTGATAAAAGATTGAACATACCAGGTTACATTTTTCATGATCTATGTAAATCTATCAAGGACTCTACTAAGAAGTTCAAAAAAATAGTTCCTTATGCAAGGTTACTTTCTGAACTATTATATCAATGCAAGATGATCAAGACATTGATGGAATTTGGAGCTACACAAGATTTAGAAGGAAAAAGGATATTGCAATGATTCATAATCCTATCAGAATCAGGAAAGACGATAGAAGAGCTTTTCTAGAAAAATATACATTGCTGACCATGGAAGATAATCTCGATGTCATCAAGTTTCTTCTTAATGAAGCCAAGAGGGAGTATGGTGTAACTATAACACATGATCAACTTCTTGATAAGTGTCCTGATGTTCAAGGTTACAGAGGAAGAAGAAAAAGAAAGGAAATCATTTTTGATGAAGATGAAGAAGATGATGAATCAGATACTCCTATACTTGCCAAGAAGAAATTCTATGAGATGTTCAGAAAGCATTTCAGAAAGAAGAAGAAATAATTGCTCAGAAATCTAGGAGGAAAAAGAATCCATATAGCTCTAAGAAGGCTCTACAACATGAAGTTGAAGAACTCATTGAGTCTATTAGGATCTGTCCTACTAAGACTAGAGAATGAGGATCTATTAGTAATCTAAATATGGACAATGAGGTTTCTACATCAAAGAAAAGAAAACTTATAAAATTAAGTCAGCTGGAAGAAGAAAACGAAACAAAAATTTCTCACGTCGTGAAGAATGTTGACAACTTCATGACAACAGTTGTCAAGAGAAGTATGGAAGTTTTATCTGAGGAATTAATTAAGAGAAATCATTTTGATGACTCAATAAAGGTTACAAAGAAGGGCATGGAATTTTTAAGAGAACATCTTGGAGACAAACTTGAGTATATTCTAAATTCTCCTGAAGTGGCTAAGATAACTCTAGAGTTTGTTGAGAGTAGCAAGAAGAGCCCAAATGCTGCTCAAGAATGTGAAGACCTTGGTGTTAAGGTAGTAGAAGAAAATACTCCAAAGGAAGTAATGAAAGTTGTGCCTACAGAAAAGGATGATGGATCTAGGAACTGGTTGAATGAGAGTCCAGCTAAAATTGACAAAGAGGTGGAAGATGTAAAAGAACTTGTTTCATTGGCAGCAGGATTAGGAATTGAGGTTGAACTTGTTAATGTCTTTAATCTTAATTCTTCACTAAGAAAGTCACCTTTACTATAACCTGCTAAATCTAACCAAACCTCTACCGTGTCCATACAACCTTATCAATCAATCATTCCTATAAGTACAAATTTTTCTACTCTTCCAAAGACCTCTCCATATAAAACACATGACAACAACATTGAATCACGTGACCAACCTGTCAACCAAACCAATCAAGACAATATTAATGCTAGAATTCAAGCAGAATCACCTTCACTAATTCCTGTTGAATATGAATGTGCTTTGAATTCTAATCCCCTCAATGATGAATCACCTTTAAACAGTTCCACCAAAACCATTACTAAATTACTTGTTCAGAATCATCTTAATAATGAAACTGAACGTGCTGAACCTGACCCAAAATTAGAAAATAATAACCTAGCTCAACCTTTACCATCAAATCACCAAGAAACCACTCAACACTCATTCCGACCAAAACATTCTTTAGACAAAGAAAACTCAGCTGAATTTGTTCATGAAACACTGCAAACAAACTCACCCAAACCATCTCAGCATATGACCAACTATTATCCTCTACCTAACCATGTACTTTCTCAGTTAGAAGTTTTTAGGATTGGGTTATATAACCAAGAAAAAGCAATAGTGGAAGAAGGGTTCACTTCTACTAATCCTGAGATGAAGTTTTACTACTTGAGAGAACTTGTTATTGAAGGAAGGTTACAATTGGGATATTGCAGAAGTGAAGACCAAGTTGCTGATTTGTTAACTAAGGGAGTCACAAATGATGTGTTAAAGAGGTTGAAGATGACCATGGGCATGGAAAACTTGGAGCACTTGAATTAAGCTGGTGTGTTGAAATTTATGTTGGTAATTCAAGTGATGTAACCGGTTAACAAGGGGTGTAACTGGTTACAGCAAAGTCACTAGTACTTCCAAGTAGAAGAAAAGTGAATATTTCGCAATTGTAATAGGTTAACCTGTAGCGTTAACTGATTATCACAAAATTGATTTAATTTCAATGTCAGTTGTAACTAGTTAACCAAATGGTGTAACCTATTAAGAGCCCGAGTTTTGCACTTCTATGTTATTTCTTTTATTTGTTTTGGATCCTAAATCATAATGTAACTTTTGTATAAATGTATATGATGTCTCTTTTTCTCTCTCTCTCTCTCTCTCACACACACACGCGCGCACACACACATCAATCTTGTGGTTCAAAGTTCTAACAATTATACTTTAATATTTTTTTTTAAAAAAATTGGATACATCAAATATATATATATATATATATATATATATATATATATATATATATATATATATATATATATATATATATATATATATATATATATATATATATATATATATATATATATATATATATATATATATATATATTCAAAAGTATTTTCTAACATACATGAGAATACACAAATCACAACAATTATAAAAACATCAATCAAATGTATACGTCACACAATCGTCCCACCAAAAGAATTGATCTTACCGAGGATTATTGTTGTCATGCCAGGTTATAATGTCAAGATTTTGATCCAAAACATTACTTAGAAAATCATTTACCCTTACAAATGTTATTATATTATTTTAACGATAATTACAAGTTTAGAAATATATATGATTTAAAGTAAAGCAATTATATGTGATTTAAAGTAAAGCAAATGAATTTGGTAAAAACACAATTTTCCCTGTGATTTTTTCAACATCATGCTATTTTTCGGTCGTAAGATGTCAACTTTTATAATCTACATTCATACAAAATTAAACCACACAAAATTAAAAATTTGACAGTTACAAACATACTATTCTTTTGCGTCAAGAACAAGAACTCGATTAAATAGAAAATTACAAAATCTTCTAAAATTACACCAGCCAAAAACACATAAAAGTATTATCTAAAATCTATATTTGCACCATTCAAAATAGAGACTTATAATTACTTAAGCATAAAATAATTTTAGCAAATACAGTTAAGTTTTTTCTTTACACTGCAGTTATATAACAAAAGTGAATCATATCTTAAGAGATACAACGAAAAAATAATATATATTTTTTAAAGCAGTCAATTCTCAACTACCTTTATTACTTTGAAAAAAAAAACTATCAAATCTTTCAGAAACTATTAAACTGCATGGTTTTGAAGTGCATCTCTATTTTCTATCGCAAAATTTTAGAAATGCTAAATTCATTGACCAACTTTATTTTTATATTTTTGGTTTAGAATTTTTAATTATTATTTTAACTTTTACTAGCAACAATGAACAATAATCGCAATACACCAAAAATGACTCATAATCTAAAAGAATCTCAATACCAGAAATACTGAAGGAAAAAAAAGTTGTAAGCTAACAGAAAAAACTGATAAAATACTGAAAAGAACATTTATAAATAAAGAAGATGGTAGCTACTAGCTAGTTAACCTTTTGAATTGAATGATACAATCAATAGCGAACAATCCTTAAACCCAAATCTCACGCATCATGCATGGTTTGGCATACAAGAATTCACAATATACATCACAAAATGAAACTAAAGAAGACACATATAAATAATTGATACATACAACTAAAAGAAATTAATTGCATATTTACACAAATAAAATCAGTTTCCAATTTTGTTTTGGTAAGCATGACCAACACCAGGACTGTGACCTGGGTCTGTTTTTTTGAACTCATTTTTAGTATCCTCAATCACAGATATGCTATGGTCCGGGCTCTGAACTACCGTCTTTTTCGACTTTTCTTCGGTAAAGTATCTATGGCCAACACCAGGACTATTTCCTGGTGTTGTAGGTTGGAATGCATATGTGTGATGGTTTTCACTTGAATCTCCAAAAGAAGTGGCTACTTCATTGTGTGACTTCATTGACGAGTCAATTTTCTTCTCTGGTGTTGAAGTAGGAACGTTGTGTTGGTTCAATGGCTTTAAGAGCCTTGCATGAGATTGAAGGGAATAATTGAAGACTATTAGTGCTAGAAAAAGAGTAAAATGTTGTAGCATGGATTGAAATTTTGCCATTAATAAGTAGAGAAAATAGAGTAGAGAGAATGAATGAATGAATGAACTTTGCAGTGAGATTTATAAGCTTGTTAGTTCAAATTATGGAAGATATATGATATGATTAGTTATGGGATCTTGCGGATATTTATAATGTAAATTGTTGAGTGAGTATGACAGTGCTCTATTATAATATACTAAATAATACTAATTATGTCATTTGACTTAATTGGTGGAGAGTTATGATCTGCAAATTTGGACCGTTTATGTATAAAAATAGCTAGTTTTTACTTATTATAATTCTATTTAGACACCTATAACTCTCCAACACCATTAATATCCCATTGTCTCTTTCTCTTTATATTACATCAGTAGAATATTACATCGTTTAGTTCTATAGTTCCTCTCAGGAGGTATGTCCATTTTTAGAGTGAAAATATATGATGGCTTTGTGTTTTGTAAAATGTGTCTAGTTGAGTTGGGTAGGTGTTGTATATACCTTAATTTTCAAATATTGTGATATTATTGTGATTCTTTTAGTGTAATAGAACACTTTATTATTATAAATAATATATTTTATGATAAAAAATTAAATAAAAAATTATGTATAGTTTCAATTCGCGTCATCTATTCCCTTGACTTTTTAATATAATTGAGGTGAAAACTATTTTATAACATATTTTAAATTCCAATAAATGTAATTTATATTTTAATTTTTTTTAAGGTTATGTTTTTCTTTTTTCTTTTATTTTTTATTTATGAATTAAATGATCTATTTCTTCGATTTGTTTAATAGCAGAGGAGTTAGATAATCATATATTATTATAAAAGAACTCGTTCATTAAGTTTTATTCTAAACCTAATTCATCTATAGTCGTTCCAAACACGTATACCATTGCTTTGAGATGGATTGCAAAATTGAATTTTTTTTATGGTTTTGTGTTGTATATTGTTCTTCAAATGAAAACCTTGAACAAAATATTTTTCTGCTCTTACTATCTATCTCACATTATGGTGTTTTTGTTGTTGTTGTTGTTGTTGTTATTTCCACCTCTTGCAAAATCACTGTTATATTTTGAAATAATCATCCTATGTTGTCAGTCAAAGAAAACACTCCATAATTTATTGATTTCCTTAGTTGACAACATTGAGAAATTTATTCCTAAATATATTATAAATTTCAAGTAATGTTGTTTCACAATACAAGAACTTGAAAATTTTATTTTGAACATTACAATGCACAAAGAATATGGTGAATAGTAAAAAATATAAAATGGAAACAATACATATTACTTTAAATTTTTTTACAATTCATAATTTTTTTGCAAGTAATATATTAACTCACTTCTTTTATAAAATTGAGAGAAAAGTTTCTATTTTATTTTATTTTTTAATTAAAAATAAATAACATTTTCTCTCGATTTTATTAAAAAATCGAGGGTATAATTTTCACGTGGGAACATTTCCTCTTTATTTTGTTGTTTGCGATGTGGTTACTATGTCACAACTTTGTGACGTGTTTACCACGTGGGAAAAAGTTCCCACCATTGCATTACCGACGTGTTTTATCCACGTCGCAAATTCTGTTAGTGAAGTGGTTTTTATGTTAGTGACGTGAATATCACTTGGGAAACTGCAATATTTCTTGTAGTGAACGAACCAATGTCCTGCATTCATAAAGTAACAACGCTTAAGATATTGCTGACACGTCAATCCACAAGAAATCACTACTACAAAATATACCTTTCGTAACACAAATTTTTTAACGGCCATAGAGTTTACCGTGACACTACTTTATTTATAGGTGGTTTTTTTTTTGTATTTATTAGAGGACATGTTACAACGGTCAAATGAAGCAACCGTGATGAAAAATTACACATGGTGAAATAGTTCGAATTCCAGCACCTACAATTAGTCATTTATCGTGATAAAAATGTTATTTACCTTGTATATCACCACGATTTTTATTAACAACCGTGATGAAAGGTGATACTTTATTTATATATAAGCGGAGTTATCTATCGCTTCAGTACATTACAATCGTCTCTCTAAAAAAAACCCTAACAACTCTTTCACTCGTCTCTCTCAAAACAAAATCCTAACAACTCTCTCAATCTTCTCTCTCATATGAAAACCCCAAAATGAAACCATAACAACAAATCTTAGCCAATGGATATTTACAACTTCGTTTTCTCTATAATTTTTTTTTAAATCGGTTTCAATAGCTTGTTTCATGATGTTTGAACTTCTTTCTTGTTTTGACTTGTAGGTATGGATGCTTCTTTCAATAAAGAGGACGAAGACGAATTTAGCCTTACAAACTTGTGTCAAATATCCATAATGACATCCATTCAAATTTTACACAAGTTTACAGGTCTAAATTTATCTTCATCCTTATTTCATTGACAACGTGCCTTTATGACACATGTATGGTATGTTTCTGGAGCTTTTTATGACTTGATATGTTTGTTTGTATTGTTTTTATTGTTTATGGTTTGTTGTTGATGAATGTCTTTTATGAATATTATTATTAATGTTTGTTTAAAAGATGAGTTTATTATATATTATGTGGTTTGAATGTTTTTCCAATCCCGTACCGAATATATAACTTTCTAAAACATATTAGAAAATAATGATATGATAGATAAAACTGTATTAGAAAATAAGTACACGTTCAATTCTTGATAAGAATTCTTCACACTGTTAAGTGCATGTTGTTCTTTGATCGTTATAACTTGGTTTAATGATCGTAGATCTTCAACCACCCCTCTCTCCACCTCAAATTTTGTTTGTAAAGTAAATAATATTTTACAAAAACAATTATAGGTGAAGACATGAGCGGTTGAAGAACTAGGATCACTAAACTAAGTTCTTACTGTCAAAGAACAAAATACAAATAACGCATTGAAGATCGCTTGTCAAGTATTGAACGTGAACTTATTTTTCTAATATAACTTAAATTGTCATATTATAATGTTCTAGTGCAGATTAGAAGGTTATATGTTTAATGAGCATTGCGAAATAAGCATTCCACATAATTTTTAATAAACTCGGGTCTATATTTAATCACGGTTGTTTAGAACAACCGTGATTTAATATGTTGCATTAAATAATATCACAACAGTTGGTTAAAGTAACAATTGTGGTAGGTAGCGCGTTACATGGATACAATCACGGTTGCACGACCGTGGTGGAAATCATCATACATACAATCATACCCTACCTCACAACGGTTGGACCCGCGTGATGGTATCCCTTTTCCAACCGTTGTGATATGTGTTTTTCGTAGTAGTGAATCCTCTACATCCAATAAGAGTGTGAACAACACCACTATATATCTTGGACGCTATCTTGTGAAACTAAAACATCGATAATGAAAGCATTTTCCATAAAAAAAATAATGAAATTTAAATAAGCTCGGAACAGATCTCTAGGATGGATTGCTAGTGCAGAAAAAATATGTTCTAAGATTGGTGTTCTTACATAATATTTTATCTTTTAATTGGAAATTTATGTTACTATCTAATCTTTTTTTATGTTATATCAAAAATTGGATGTGTGCAAAACCATTCTACTTGAAAAGCAATGGGTTGCAACAAAATTGAATTTGTTCTTCTGCAAGAATAACAATAACGGTGATTAATCACATCTATCAAAATTTTGTACTTGTAGATTGAAACCAAAACAATGTAACATAAGAAACTTTGTATGTTAATATAAAAAATAGATGTTTATTAACAATGTTGTTTAATATTTTATGTAAGAAATATAATTTATATTTTTTAAAAAAATTATTTTTCCCACTACTACAAAAAAGTTTTTTAATAGCGCTTTTTTTGCTTTTTAATAGCGCTTTAAAGCGCTATTAATCAAGGTGCTATTGTAAAACAAAATTTTTAATAGCGCTTTAAAAGCGCTATTAAATACAGGTACTATAATAGCGCTTTTAAAAAAGCGCTATTATAGTACCTGTATTTAATAGCGCTTTTGAAAAAGCGCTATTATAAGTCACATATTTGATAGCGCTTTTAAATAAAGCGCTATTATAGCACCGTTAATTTGCTTTAATTTTGATAGCACTTTCAAACAAAGCGCTATTATAATACACATATTTAATAGCGCTTTCAAATAAAGCGCTATTATAAGACAAATATTTAATAGCACTTTCAAAGAAAGCGCTATTATAATTCACATATTCGATAGCACTTTCAAACAAAGCGCTATTAAAATACCGGTAAATTGCTTTAAGTTTGATAGCACTTTCTAACAAAGCGCTATTATAAGATGGTGTTTTATGGGATATATATATATATATATATATATATATATATATATATATATATATATATATATATATATATATATATATATATATATATATATATATATATATATATATATATATATATATATATATATATATATATATATATATATATATATATATATATATATATATATATATATATATATATATATATATATATATATATATATATATATATATATATATATATGTGGCTGGACAATAAAACTACTGATACTACAATAACGCCATTTTGTAAAATAAAACTACCGATACTGTGTAAGAATTGTATGGTTATGTTTGTAAAATAATACCACACATAGTATCTATTTTTAATGCAATGTAATCAGTACAATATGTATGCGTTAATAATTCAAGTTGATTTTACACATATATAACGCCATTTTGTTATTTAGACATTTGTATAAATATTTTAAAAAAAATACATTTTCATATAATTTTTAAATTATTATTTCACATCTTAATAATATAAATATTATAAAACCAAATTTGATAGGACACTTGTGTCTATCCATCTATCCATGAAAACTAGTTTCATAAACAAAATTACAACACCAAAGAGAAAAAAGGTATTGTATCTTTGGCATACAAACAAGAACCAGTGCCCAAGCTTAAAATGTCCTTAAGATCTGATACCGGTAGAACACAACGTAAACTGGTCTAACAACTGTTATATCAGTACTCAGTTCATAAA